TGGTGGTGTTCCTCGTCATGGTGGTCATCTACATGCGCATCTACACCTACGTCAAGAGGAAGATGTCTATGCTCACGCCGCACACCAGCGGCTCCATCAACCGCAAGAAGACGCCCATTAAACTCATCAAGACGGTCATGGTGGTGCTGGGTGAGTCACTGTCGTTTATTGGTGTTTTTGTAGAAAAAAACGGTGAATGAGTAGATCTGATATGACACAGTGAGCAGCTGAGGAATGTTAAATGGTGAATGAGAAGATCTGACATGACACAGTGAGCAGCTGAGGAATGTTGTGTCAGGATGGAAAATTTAAGATTTTTTTAATGAAAATACAGGCAGTTTTCAATGACAAAACCTTAATTTTTTAGTTGCAGGTGTTTAGTCATCAGTAACATAAGACGTTAAAAGGTTATTTTCTTTCTTTTCATCCACAAACTTCTACTGTTTATGGAAAAAGCAGCTGGAGTTTCAGCAGTTAGCTCTTTGAAGCAGATAATTTTACAATAGACACATCTATCATTTAGCAACATGTAGTTAAGTGATAGGCATCACAATGTACCAGCGCGCACAGCAGCATCTTTAAATAACTTTGGTCAAACCAACCGTCCAAAAAACCCAGAGGCATTCAGTTTACAGGATGTAAAAACAGCTGGAAACAAAGTTTTTGACTTTGAATTCTTCATACAGTCGAAGACTCTGATACAGAAACTCATTCATCCATTCACTCATTCCTGGTCACTTCGGGGCAGATCGTGTGATCACAGCATGTGTTGGACAGTTCAGGACATACTTTGTTCATGTAACAGGATACCTGCAGCTGAGCTGCAGCAGCTGACGCTCCTTCCAGCCACGTCCTTTAAGAAGGGAACAATAGGACGGCTCCGGTGCACTGCTGTTGTCATGAAGCGTCACCTTTATAGTCACGAAAGACCAACTTTGGGCTTCGTCAGGTGTCGGCAAATCTGCTGATTTTATACAGATTTTATACTGTCACGGATGAGTTCACTCTGGAGTTTTTTTTTTTCTCCACGGTCCTGTCATTGTCCTGCGTCTCCGCGGGCTCTCTGCTCTCCAGATGGACGCAGGAGACCGACTGCCTCTGCACTCACTTTACTCTAGCCTGCTGTGTAATTATCTCTTCCTGCAAGGACACTGCTGCTCAGCCTGTGTGGCGCACCATCCCACACACTGCACCACAGCACAGTGGCTTTCAATGAGCGTCCCCCCCCCCTCCCTCTCTACCCCCAAGAAAAAAGGAGGAACCTATACTTGAGGAGCTTGTCAATTGCTTTCAGATGCAGTTATTTGCAGCATGTGAAAGTGTTGGTTCACGACTGTCATCCTTTAGATTTCCCTCCTCTGTTTTTGTGCTGTGGGTTTTAGACTCTTCACTTTGAACTTTTTTTTATATTTCAACACTGAAGCTGAAATTTGGTTATTTTTTGCCACCTGTCACTGTTTCTGCTTTTGTCAGTAAGAAAAAAAAAGTTCAGGCCAAGTGTTAAAAAAAGCAAAAATATTAAGGCGGCACCTTGTACTTATTTAATACAAGACTCAGCAGAATCAACGCACTGAGCTCTAACAGGTGTAGTGTTTAAAACTGACTAATGTTGCGTGATATAGGTGATGATATTTGGAGGAAGTTAAGCAAAAAAATTTGTAAAAAGTATCATTTTGATTATATCAGACCAGATAAACCTCTGTTTCTGTTGCCGTTCTTAATTGAAATGGTAGGATTTGTTTTTCGAATTTTTGTCTTTAAAAAACAAACTGTGTCTGAAATAAATAGTGAAGCCAGTAAATAGGAATAACAATCTGAATGAAACAGAGGAAATACATGCAGATTGTCAATATTTGGTGTGGATAAAATATGTCACAGTTTTCTCTGCCAAACAAAATATCTATTTAGGACTAATAGGTGAAATTGTTTCTTTGAATGGAAAAAGGAAATGAAAACTGTGTGGGATTCTGCAGCAGTGATATGTGACAAAAGAAGGAAAGTAAAACACGTAAAAGTGAGAAACATGTAGTCAGCTGCAGGTTTGGAGGATATAAAATCAGGAAATCAAAAGGTACTCAGCTCTTGTTCCAGGTGAGGAGACGTTTTCTCAGGCGGAAATGACAGCAGGAAAAACCTGTTGGACAGAGATGTTATCATGTACTGTGGTTGTAGAAAGACGCAGAGAAGAGGAAGACCGAGTCAGAGCAGTCTGCGTTTGCTGTCACATCACTTTCATTTCCTAAATGTCTCCCAAAGGAGATATTCACAAATGGAAGGAACGCCTTCATATTTTGCAACTTTGTGTCACGCAGCCCTGAGGCAAGTGCTGATGGGAGAGGTAACTGTGGAACAGAGCGTGACTTTGATGGACCTTATGACCAACAGACCTGAAACTTCACCAAATACGTGTTCAGGAGAGAATCTCACATGAACAACTCAGCAAATATGTAGGCCCAGAGAATCGGTGCTTGCTCAACACGCCACAGTTGGCCAAGGAGGGATTCAAACCTCGGTCGTAATACTTAAGCATCCAATTGCGTAACACTCTGAAAAGAAGGCGGGGCTTCTGTATGTCTTCAGTTAGAGAGCTCTAACCACAATCAGAACCTGGACATCATTCTTTTTATACGATTATGGAAAAGTAGAGCTAAGGTAAAGGTCAAGAGGGCAAAGGTCGAAAGGAGATTTTGACTTATTTATCCCAGAAGACGAGGTTCCAAATGTGTCCTGAAGTTTCTTAGATTCAGGTCAAAAGCGGATGACAAACAGGCTGCAGGGAAATAAACAAAAATAAAAATTAAAGAAACATAAAAGTAAATCAGTGAAAATCATTGAGAATTTAAAACCCAGAGCAGATTTTTTTTTCGTCTGCATTTTTGCTCAACTTTTCATGTCTGAGAGGAACAAATAAGAAGTGCAAATTGAATAGAATCTTCCTTGTTGTTGTTCTGCAGTGACATTGAAACCTCGTCCATGCTGGTAGTCCAGGCAAGTCACAGCAAGTGGCTGCATGTGGTTTCCTCTGGTTGCAGAAACCTTTTAGTGGCTCTTTGTTTTGTGCCCAGGCATGCATGAAGTTACAGACTAACTAGCTGCCTCCAAACTACTACAACATTAGACACAACACTCACAGTGTGGAAGGTAACGACAGTATGTTGTGTTTGAATGACTAATTAATGACCGTGGATGAGTTTCTGATTGAATCCATTATTGCTCACTGATCATGAGCAGCTGAGGCGTTTAATGTTGCAGTAAATGTTCACAGGAAATAATTATAAAGTGATTAGTAAGTCTTCAGATAAATGCAGTGAAGGATCAGGACGGAATATTTAGTTATATAGTTACTTCAGTAATTTTATTATTATCTTCAGTATTTAAATATCTTATAGTTTAGAGTCATGAATTACTTTGACATAAAACAATGTAGTTGAAAAAAAAATTACTATTATTTTACAAGGGTTATAATTTCACAGAGAGAATATAAGTTACAAAGGTTATAATTTCACAGAGAGAATATAAGAAACCATCACAGGTTTGAATGTTTTGGCTGTTTAGTTTGGACCAACGTTCAGTTCTTGGCAGGAAGTTATTCCATGAAGTTTGAATTGTGTTTATGGTCATTTTTAAGGTTACAACAAGGATGATTTCATTATAATGTGTTAATTTAAAAAGATGTTTGAATGATTTTTTAAAAATATTTGCATATTTAATGCCTGAGTTTTTTCCCCCTCAGGAGCCTTCGTGATCTGCTGGACCCCCGGCCTGGTCGTCCTGCTGCTCGACGGCCTCGACTGCAGGGCTTGTAACGTGGTGAAGCTGAAGCGTTGGCTCCTCCTCCTGGCCGTGCTCAACTCCGTCATGAACCCCTGCATCTACTCCTACAAGGACGAGGAGATGTGGACCACCTTCAAGAACCTCATGCGCTGCATTGGAAATGGCACTCGGCGACAGCGGTCAACCAAGGCCAACGCCAGGCCGCTGAGCTCCGGTCAGGACACGGGCAACAGCCAGCCGCCGTCCGAGGAGCTGAAGAACGATGATCAGGGTATCCTCAAGGCCTGAGAGGAGGAGGACGACGAGGAGGAGGAAGAGGAGCTCTGTCAGGAGTGAAACTGAACCTTTGGCCAGAGTATGAGCTGGTCATACTGTAGCTCATGAAGATAAAGATTGGAGATGACTTGAAAATGAAACTTCACACTCACTGCTACTTCCTGCTGCCCTCAGATTACTGAACCGTGTGGACGAGGCAGAAACACAACATGGACGCCACGACTGTTAGTTCATATGATGCAGTTTCACCTTTGAGTCTTCGCAGCAATGACTGAAGACAGAACCCAGTACACAGTACACAGTACACAGTACACAGTACACAGTACACAGTACACAGTACATTTCTACTTTTACCTCAGAAAGTGTAAAACAAAAATGGCCAAACAGTAGATTTCACCATCGCTCTTGTACATTTTTG